GAACTGGTCGCGGGTCCGTACGGTTCCGCCCGCCTTGGACGGTATCGGCCGCTCAGCGGTCGGAGGAAATAGACGCGGGGCCTGATGCTCTTGGACCTGAGGTATTAGGTTGGTGCAAAAATCATTGCGGCGGCCGGGAGCGGGGGCTCACGCGTGTAGTCCCATCATTTGGGGAGGCCGAGGCGGGCGGGTCACCAGAGTCAGGAGGAGGTCAAGACCAGCCTGGCCAACGTGGTGAAACCCTCTCTGCTAAAAGCACAAACGTTAGCCGGGCGTGGTGGCGGCGCCTGTAAGCCCCGCTGCTCCGGAGGCCGAGGCAGAATAAGCTATTGAACCCGGGAGGCGCAGCCTGCGGTGAGCCGAGATCAAGCCACGGCACTCCGGCCTGGCGACACAGCGAGACTCCGTCTCAAAAAAAAAAAAAGGAAGGAAAGAGACTTAGGGTGCATTCCCTGCTTTTTAAATTATGTATTTATTTATTTTGAAACGATGTCTAGCTCTGTCGCCCAGGCTGGAGTGCGGTGGCGCAATCCCGGCTCACTGCAACCTCCGCCTCCCAGGTTCAAGCCATTCTCCTCCCTCAGCCTCCCGAGCAGCTGGGACTACAGGCGCCCGTCACCACGCCCGGCTAATTTTTTTGTATTTTTAGTAGAGACGGGGTTTCACCATATTGGCCAGGCTGCTCTCAAACTCCTGACCTCAGGTGATCCACCCACTTTGGCCTCGCAACGTGCTGGGATTACAGGTGTGAGCCACGGACCTGGCCAGAGCCTGGGGTTCTCTAACTCGTTTCTGGGGCCTGCCCACCACTTTTCTTGCCAGTGCCCATCTTCCAGGTTCTTCCCAGGCTGCTTCTGCCTGCCTTGTCCTCTTCCTGCCCATCATACCACACTCTCCCACCAGCATGTCCTTCATTCCGCTCTGACTCTTCTCACCACCCAGCCTAACCTGACTGAAAACCCCGCAGCAGGAGAGCAGGAGGCCTCTGCTTCTAGGTGCCCTGTGAGAAGCAGCTGTGAGGTCGGGCTCACACCTGTAGTCCCAGCACTTTGGGAGGACGAAGCGGGCAGATCACCTGAGGTCAGGAGTTTGAGACCAGCCTGGCCAACATGGTGAAACCCCACTTCTATTAAAAATCAAAAAAAAAAAAAA